AATACACACAGGACTAATCAAACCAACAAGACACAGGTGAGGAGGGAGGAGAAACACAGGGCACCAGGTGAACGCAATCACCAGCAACAGACAAGACGGGAGGGGGAACACTTTTCAAACTAAAACAGGAAACAGAGACAGACAAACTAAAACATAGACAGATTGTGACAAATATATGCATAAATGACATATAATCACATGCTTCCTGTGCAATGTTTTAGCGTGGAACAAATGAATATACTTCACCAATAATGAAGCATATAATCCGTAACGGAGACCGAGATCTATGGCCCCAGAGATCACCTCCGTTACAGCGTGGTCATGGTTTAACTCCAATAGAATTGACTCTGCATTTTTGATTGCACTCTAGAAGCTATGAGTAATAAATACACTCCAAAATGATTAAATATCACTATTTCAGAGCAAAATAGTAATTACTCTGGAAAAAATACTCACCAATATTTCCTGTGTAGGAATGATTTCACAATGTGTAACGGTGCTAGACAAAACATTGTTAAGACCTCCTTTAAATAGACTTGAAAGTACCTTAGTCATACTGACTGGCACAATTACAAACATGTGCCCTTGAATGTAAATAGCAGCACATTTTGTTTTATGTTGAATATTAATGTTCAACAGAGATTCCTTTTAATTAAGACTTGACACTGTATGAACATTTCTGTTTACAAACTGTCTGGCAAAATGGAATTGCACTGAAAATATTTGCACTGGTTTTGCATTATTTTTACATTTGCAATGTGAGAGTTTGTTTTAAATAACTAACAGTGGCATACAGTTGACTGATGCTGGAGAATCAACATATCTTTCAGGATTTACAGCACATACAGGAACTTGCTAGCAAATGTGATGCATCACATAGACCTGTTGCCGAGGCATCACATTCCTACATATCATTTTGTTTTGCATGCTGTGAATGTGACAAACGCTTCTTCATTGGTGTGTTGGAAGAAGGAAGCAAGCTGCAATAGCCTCATCCCAATACCCCTCCTCGACTCCTCTCTTCCCCTCCTCCGGGACTTGACCCGGAAATCGATCAAGACACGCCATTTTGAAGGACGTCCCAATAGCTGAAATGCACACGGAGGAGTCGAGGAGGGGTGAGGGAGGAGGGGTGCGGGAGGAGACGAAAGGGAGGATACACGAGAGCAGACTACGCGGAAGTGTTTTCACTACTCGCGTATATAAGCCCCGCCCCCACCTTCACAGCTGGTCGATTTCAACACAGGAAAACGGAGAACTGGAAGAATGAGTGGAAAAGCGTCACATAAATGTCTAAGTGCTCACAGCTCCGTGGGAATTATTATGTGCAATTCATTTCTTAAGGTTATACTAACAATTTAAGTCATGTTTAATGATCTTGAACGTCACTAAAACATAGCTATTAAGAAAGCTATTTCATAAATGGCTAGATCTTGATAAATAAAAATTATTTGTTTTGTTTTGTGTTAAGATATTCAGGAGTTAAATTATTTAAAATGCACAGTCCTGAATGTGGGTTTGTGGTGAATGTGGGGATCTACAGGACACACATTTTCAGAGTAAAGGCTTTCACATTACTATAATTATAATTTTATTGAAATGTACATTTTACACCAAAACGGAACACAAAAGCAGGACCAACCATCATACATTGAATTCCTTGACTAACAAGATAAAGATTCATTCATTTAAATAAATATTTAACAACAAATGGGCCGGTGCTAAAGGGTTATTCAGTTAAGCCCGACGAGAGGGGATACAGCTGTGCACATGTCATCATTAACAGACGTCGTTTAAGAGTGACGTTTGAGTGAACGAGGACATCCCATTTAATACCTGAGGACTCTCCTCGCGTCTCCTCCTCGTGTCTCTCGCTCGCATCTTACGGAGGCGGAGCTAAGACGCAAGGAAGGGACGCGAGTCGAGGAGGGGTATTGAGACGAGGCTACAGTCTTCATGTTTTTGACTTCTTCTTCTTCTCTTTCTAGGAAGGGAAATCTGACCTCTTATGTAAGACTGTTTGTGCACACACCCCTGCAGGCTTGACCAATCAGGAGGCTTCCATGGTGGCCTCGGCCCCCAGTGTTTTGTTTGTCATCGTGTAATAAGATTCACACAGCGAGCAGCAGCTTCGGGCGGTCGGTCCTGGGGAAAGTGAAGGACGAGACATGAAGAAGAGGGGGGGGGGGGGGGAGTTACTGGGCGGTGGGCCAGAAACGTCATAACACTCTGTGCCCCAGCTGTTAGTCCTCAGGGAGACCTGTTGCCATGGTAATAAAGCCTAAGACCCCACCACCTTCCTCTCAATGGAAACGTTAGGGCATACTGTATGTCACTTACTACTTACAATCATATGTAGTAAGCGTTGAGGTTTCTTTCTTACTTCTTTGTTATAATGCCACAGAGTTGCACGCAGATAGAGGTGACATTGTCAAGAAGCAATACAATTTGGGCACTTTTTACAGTCTATTCTGGTTTCATTGTCTTAATGTTTTAATATCTTGTGTTTTTTTGCTTTTTGTAGTTAAATCACATCCCCTTTTGGCACAATAAAGAACTTCCGTTATAGGAAATGCTTTTGCAAATAATTGTAATGGCCTTTCTTTTCTCCAGTAGTCTGGAACACAACTGATGTATGATCAGTCAATAAATCAATTCTGACTTTGGGGTCATGTCATGGTCACATTAATGCAATATGATTCAATGACCCCTGAGCTATACGTTTCAAATGACCTTATCTGACCTTCAAATGGCCTACTAAAGCATTGTTTTTATCGGATCAGAATTGAAGGGCTGCAAATTACAAAGAACTCTATCTAGGTTAGCTGAAAGAAAGAGAATAAACAGAAAAGGCAAGCTCGGCTCCAGTGATACCACAGTATCATGATTCCTCCGGTCAGCTCCTTTGAAGCACACAGTCAGGTTGACAATACCCGCTGATCCCTGCCAAGCTTCTGACAGAGTTACATAACCACACCTTAATCCCAAACCTGAGGTGGTGACTGTAACTACAGATTTGGGGTCAGATTAGAGCTTCACACAACTCCGCCTCGACTGTTATAGAAACAAACTGATGTCTGACTCTTGAACAGCAGATGTGATTACCTGGTTACTTTAATCTTCTGGACAAAGATGTGCAATAAGTACAAGGTGCTGCGATACATACATATGTCAGTATTGAAACTGTCAATTGCATTTTATAACTTTATGAAAGTTGTCACTATTTCACAGGCTTTAGTTTCAAGGGAACTATATATTTACCAATTTTTTTAACCATCCATATAAACTTAATTTAAATTTCTGAAATTAAAAAGTAAAGTGGTGAGATTGAAAAACTGAATTTATTTATTTTATGTTCATTAGAATTGGAAACAGATACATATTTGACATATACACGCTTCTTAAGAGTGGTACAGTATGATTCACATGTTGATGTACAGGGTAGCAATGCCAAGATAAAAATAATTCCTTCCCTGAGAGGACAGGTGTTACCGAGACTAGATTGGTGTCAGCCTCTGTAAGAGAGGAAATCTGAACTAGAATTGAGACAAATTAATGTTTTTTGCATTTGTATTGTATTGTATTATCACAGTTTCTCTCTTTAATCTCTTGAATAACTTTTAGTCCAGAATATTTGTTATGTTCAAATGGAAAGAAAGTTTCTTTAGAACCGTTCAAACTTTAATACAAAAATCTCCTGAAGGTGCCCCGAGTCAGCCTTTTTGCAAAACAAACATCTTCATGGGGCTTTTTAGCACAACTAAATATTATTCCCACAGGTGTATCCTTATGCACACAATAAATGTAAACACTGGCCTCATATCAAGACTCAGGGTTTTCCTTTGAGGAGGGCTGATAAATGTCCCCAGAAAGCTTGTATAACTCACAAGCAGCACAAGGACATAAGTGAGACCAAAGCAATTACCAAACTCCATCTTAGAAACTGCAAAGATCAAGAATAACTTTGCGTAGGCTTTCACCCATGCAACAGCCAATAAGATAGCATTTCACATTCCAAAACAAGTTGTATTAAGACAATGCTTTTGTTATAAATCAATTTAACCTACTATGACCACTGTCAGCTTATGATGATCCTATGACTGTCCTTTTCTCTGTTCGCTCTATATCTGTTGATGCCTTTGTAACTTATTATTAGGGTTAATTTGTTGTCTAATATGTTGATAACAAGTTACATAAGAGAAATGTAAAATGCATGTGAAATGCAGTCGGTGCAGTCTGAGGTGTGTTAGCTCGTGTTTCAGAGTGAAAGTGTTCTTGTTGGCATGCAAGAGACTGAACAAGGACACAAATAATTCATATTTTGTTGAACCTTGTTCAGAGAGTACAACATTATGCTTGGCTGTTTCTTTATAAAGCATCTTCCTTGCTTTTTCCATCCACTATCCACCAAAACATTTAGAAATTTGATCTGAATCGATTTGAGCAAAAACACATGGCGTGATGTGTTGCTGAATGATTAAGCAATGTTTTGTTTGAGTTTGGGAAGATCATAGTTTAATTTTGGAAGGAGCTTGGCCAAAACATTGGTGGGCTGATATCAGCTCATGTTAGCTGATCCCAAATTCATATTGCCATTGGCCTTATTGGAAGATCTCCAGTAAAACATTATTTTCCAGTCTGCAGTTTTTTAGTTATTCTACATTTCTCTTGAATCCATAACAATTGATTTGTATTATGATCTACTGCACATTATGTATAATGTTATTGGGCTGTGTTTTTTGGGTTCATTGAACCTAAGTGACCCAGCACATACTTTATTTTGTGGCTGTGGCGCTCTCTGTTGGCTAAAATAAACACTTGAAGTGATAGTAATAAAAATAACGATAATATTAATTGTAAATACAATAGGCCAATTCATATACTTACACCCGTGTGCAATACGACACACAGCAAATATTTTACAAGGATATGTTGCCGACAAACAACCAGCGTGGTATTTATATATATTATCTTCAGGCAATTTCTGGTAAGCCTACGCGACTTCCGTCAAGCTGTTTGAGGACCCCAGGATGTCCATGCTTGCTGAACGTATGTACATTTCTTCAATTGTTTTTACGGATATTTCCCTTTTTATTTCAATTAAACAATCCGTTTTTTTGTATTTTATTTTCGCTAATACATACATCTACTGTACCAGCTGTTGAGAGGCAGTCTTCTGAAAGTATTCAATTGTATACGTATTACAACTGTTCGGCTTGCTAACATTAGCATTAGCACACCAAAAGCAGTATATGACAACACGTGTTTTCTCTTGTAACTCTGCAGTCACCTGTCAATGGCTCAGTTTAGTTAACTATATCGTCGTTAATGACCATCTATTCTTATCCATTTGTCTGCTCTCTTGTTAAAAAACGTGTTGTCCTCTATTGCACATTGTTTTCTCCAATGTTGTCGGACGTTGCTTTTGTTTAGGTCCAGTAATGCTGACATGTCAGTGTGTTTACATGCACAGGGCACCTTATTGTCCTCATTATTTTACAGAACAAAACCTGATTTATTTACCAGGGAGGGCCAGCATACTTTGATATTTTGAAAGATGTGTATTAGAAGGAAAACGGGCGCAATATAAGGCTACATATGTGATATCTAACTGTGTGGCAACTGTATTATTATACAGGTTTGGGTAACTAAACTGGGTAGTTGTATCACGATGCTGCACAGTAACATTTGTCTTTGTAAGCATAAGGTCTTGTCGGTGTCAGCTTGCAGTGTGAGTTGCTTTCATGCTCGTTTATGTTATATTTTGTTCAATGACTGTTATGTTGGTGCTTCTCTCTATGCAGCCAAGAGGAAACTGAAGTGGTCTATTGACCCCAGGAACAGCGCCTGGTCCAAGGATGAATCCAAATTCGGCCAGAAGATGCTGGAGCGAATGGGCTGGTCCAAGGGCAAGGTGAGGTGGACCTTTCTTATTAGATCAACAGCGGTGATTTATTATTAAACTGGCAGTGAGCGGATGAGTAAAGAAACAATTGTGTTAAACGTAATGTCTTCTCTTTTCATGTGAAGGGCCTGGGAAGAGCTCAGCAGGGCTCCACCGATCATATCAAAGTGAAAGTTAAAAACAACCACCAAGGTTTTGGAACAACTGCCAGCTCTGAGGTGAGCACATTCAACACTTTGGGATTTGATACTGGAATAAATGGAATATTGTTTCTCTGAATCTGAAAACCAAGGACATTTTACGAGAACCTAAAGAGAATAAGTAATCAGGAGTCCATATTGATTGCATTAGTAACATGGTTATTGGTTAATGTAGTTTGTAGTGCATGGAAATCGTTTATGTGATGTGAGATGGTGTATTCAATCAACTTGCAGTCTTTTTTTTTATTTAAAACTACATCTATTATGGTACAGATTTAAATGACGCAAATAAAAAGATTGTCAGGGTTTAAAACAAAGTATACATTATAATCGAGGTAAGGGAGGATTAATGCCAGAACTGTTGTATTAAAAATAATTAAGGCTGGCTAGCTGTACCTTCTTATAATCTGTCAACTGAGTGTTTAAATCTACATTTAACTCCTGCTGTGTTCACAGGATAAGTGGATCGCCCACCAAGATGATTTCAATGAGCTTCTAGCTCAACTGAACAACCACCATGGTCAAAACAACAGCGCTGGTATGTACATCCACAGCATTAGGATGTGTAAAGTGTTTATAATGCACTGTCTACAAACGGGTTATGATGTAGTTGTGGCGGTGATACTTCAAAACAGTGTCTCACTCTTATTCTTCACAAACCGATTGTCACAAACCGATTGTCCTTGTTGGATTAAATGTTGTTTTTCGATTTAAAAAAATGAAACAAATTATCTTTATTGTCATTACATCCCAGTTCACACATTGGGTTCAAGCACTTTGTGTTCCCTTGGTTGTGTAAAAGAAAGAAGAAATAACTATTACAAGTTGAGATCTAGCGATAGGATGTTTTCTTTTCATATGTATTTGTGATTAGATTCTTATTAGATGGTGAAAATTCTCCATCCACCAATATGTATCCGATATGATCCTATACCCTGGCTACGTATTGTCATGAGTTGATGCATGATGTGTACTCATTTTTAGTGCTAAGTTTTCCAACGTTGTGGCTCTGTCTGAAACTACACAAAATGTGTAGACAGCAATGTCTTAGTTTGGTCCCTGTGTCGGACAGTAGAGGGTGCCACACTGCAACATTTAGGAGAAAAAAACGTTTGGATACATTCTCACAGAAACATCTTGTTACTCTGGTAAACACACTGCACTGCTAGAATACTGGTTTATCAAAGTTGGTGCAAAGATGCATCTTACATTTTTATCACATGACCATATTTATTTGTATTTCTTTATTATTTTTAGAACCTCTAACGTCAGAGGAGCCGAAAGGATTCAGCTTGGAGGAGAAGTCCAAGACCGGCAAAAAGAGGGTCCATTACATGAAGTTCACTAAAGGTGAGTCTATCTTTTGGCAGCAGACGGGTCTGTACAGCAGCAAGTCCAAGGGATACACATAGCTCAGGAGAGCACTATTTGCTCAAGGGGTGTTTTCTCTTCTCAATCTTAGCACCCATTATATATATTACCCCTAAAACAGTTTCTGTAGTATCACTGGATCAACCGTTAATCGCGTTAAAACAATTCCCTCGTGAAAATATCTCTGTTTTTGGTTTTAAGGTAGATGTATACTGATATTAGGTCTCACTCAATTGTGTGCCTCCACTTTTTTTATTTCAACCTTTCATACAGTCATTCCAGACAGACAGAGAGGAGTCTCTTTAGCCCCTTGTTGAGCCTGTGCACTTGGCTCGGACCTCTGAAGCTGATCTGAGCTCTGTCAGCCTGTACTGGGTCAGATGGCCCGGTCAGCGCTAGGGGAGGTTATTAATAACTCTTCCTTCTACTTTCATTACTCCTTTACACGTCAGGAAGTTAAGATTTGCTGGTCAAGGCCAGAACACTGATAGGCAAGAGGAGGAATTTGATGTTCAGGACCACTGGAGACCAAACTGAATAACCACAAGCCCATATTTTACTGCAAAGTGGTTTAGCCTGAGCATAGAGCATATAGACTGATTACACTTTTTTGAGATGATTGTCACGATAATAAACATTTTTAAACATTCATTTTGCTCATCCTTTTGGATTGAAAGGATTGCAAACTCATGAAGTATTAACACATGCTGAAGTAATTAATCCATAACAGTTTTTGTTATTTGGTTCAATGTACATCCTGAGGTCAGCATACATGAGCAAACAAAATATCTCAACTTTTGCCTCACCTGGGAGAGCCTTTTACATTTTACGTCATTCAATAGCAACTTCCTGTTTCCTGTTTGGGGCATCTGGCATGTCCATTTACTGGCCCCCTAAAAACAACACCTCCCAGGGGCTTTGTGACCCATTAGATGACCCTGCTAGATAACGTATGACCTGAGTCTCTTCGCCAGACCCTCTCACCCTGTTTATGTGATCTTAATTTGGCAGGAGCCAGAAAAAGACCCCGGTGCATCAGATGCACAATTAAGGCAACAAGTACCGTCACTATGAACATAATAATGTTCCATCTGGTGCTCTCCCTTTTACCCTCAGTCCCTATGCATACGTTGTTGAAGTCCTACAACTGATTATAACAGTCTTTTCTGAGTCTTGCAGACGCACTTTTGCTTCAGTTGGTTTTCATTCTGGGATTTTGCATCTGCTGGGTAGTTTGAAAATTAATGCACCCATGCCATCTCTAAACATCACTTCACAATGATAATTTAACATCATGGCACCGTTTACCACATTTGCATTAAAACATGTTAGGTGAGTTATTTATGTTATTTTTAGATTCTGTTTTTATTAAATCCTGACTACCAGTGACTGTTTAACAGTGTTAATGTCTCCTCACGGGGCAAGTCTCATTCAAACAAAGTCTTCAGGGTTCTTGTAGGCTCCCTGCGTGTCCCCTCAGTGACTATAAATACTGTGTTTTAGCCTAGACCTGGCCTGCTTTTAGCCTTGCTTTACCTCTGCTTAATCCCTCTCTAGCGTTGGCATCATAGATAAAATCACAACTTCCATTATTCTTAATGAGGATATATCAGTCATAATGAGAATGTATGGTGATATTTCCATTCTGCAATGAAATCTTTGTAAAAAGTATCTTGAAGGCATTTCCTGTTGTCCCTGCCCTGTGAGTCCCATCAAACGTATTGAAATGCTACACTTCTGTTCGAATCTCTGCATCCTCCCAGCTATATCCACCTCACTCCCCCCTCTCAAGACGGCCTCATTGACCCCATGAAAAGCACTGAAAACAATACCTTGCTCAAGTGTTATTGTCAATGTGACAGCCACATGTATCTGTTGTTCATCACCGTTTGTTGGCTGTGAACTTGGGCCTCTTTAAGGATACATTTGTACCCCATCCAGTCATCAGCTAGTCTGACCTTGCAGGACTTTTAATCCATTTGAGGAGATCCCTTTAATTATCACCAGCAGCTATTTAAAGGGAACAGGAGCTGGAGAGCAGGTAGCACCTGACACTGCCGCTGTTTGTTAAACATGAGGCATTTACAGGGAAACCAGAATTCAATCTTGATACATGTTGTTCCTCTGTAGGCAGCAGACGTGGCTTTGGCAACCTGACACCACTTTGACTTGTTTCTTTAAAAAAATTAAAAGGCAACAACCGTTGTCGTGCAACAGAAGGGACGCTGGCACTACTTGTTTGTCCATAACTTGATTGGAAACATGAGAGTTGGGTGATCCGCCTGCCTTAAGTTGTCTAACAGGCATAAAGTGCCAGTGCATTGCTTCACTTTGGCCAGCTTATGGTATAAATCGGCATATGCCAACAAAGGGTTACCTGGCAACATATAACCGGCCACGCCTGTTTGCATGCTACCACTGACTGATCTGACACTAGCGCTCCTCTCCGGGAAGCTGTTTCCAAGTTAAGGCTTGGTAATGGATTTAGGGTTGCTAAGCTTGTTAGATGAGAGGTTGAAAAGTCAGGTCCTCCTCATAGTTCTGCATGTGTCAACTAGGTCAACCAGTTCTGCTTGATTATGACAAAATCATCCTTACGCTTATGTAATTTGTTACTTGGTTATTGTGGAAACCTCATGCATTTACATTAAAAAGAGGGCACTTTATAAAGGAAAGTACATGAATCTGGTGCACTTTTACAGCAACATAAACGTATAGCGGCTGTCCCTGTTCTACTTGTTCTTAATGTGCACGGCTGTAGAGAGAAAAGGTTTGCTATATTTATAACACAAGACAAAGGTGAGTGTCATACAGAAACTGGCACAATTATAATAATTTATATTGATTATTTGGTTTTCATAATCATTATAAGCCAAAATCAGAATGAAAAGAAAACAAGTTAGGATAATTCCCAGCCCCAAAGTGCTCCCTTTAAAACCTGATTTCATGTTCAGTCTGATTACAATTGTAAGAGATATTACTGTTTGGTCTAATCCTGGTTATTAACTAAAATGCATCTAGTCATTTCTCATTAATTTATTGCTTAACTTGATAGGAAAGCTGTAAAAACATTAAAGCATTAAACATGTTGTGGCTACAGAAGCATCTGGGAACCTTCCAAACATCTTATTCTGCGTCTCAGCGCAGGCCTCCTCCTTACTCTCTCCTGCTTTTTTATTGATATCCTGTTCAGGCTGCTTCCCTCACTGCCAGCGCTGAGGATTGATGGTCTTTGTTTGTGGGGAAAGGCACCAAAATCTCCGCTGCTTTGGTCCGGGCTCACAGCATAAACCAGTAACCCAGTTTTAATTGCTACCTCCATCTATCACCTGTCACCGCAGCAGGGGTGGTTGATGCAGAATGAAACCACAAGCTCTCTGTCCATTTCTCCGTGTTGTTGGCTTAATTGCAGTCTTGGGGCTTTTATCAAAACAAATGTTTGCATTTCAGTCAGTATAGGTCTGTAATTGGAGATTTTAAGGAAACGCAACAAAGCAACTACAACATATTATGCAGCTAAAGAGCTTCAGGTCACAGATAGAGTTGTTATTTGTTTCCTTAGAAACCTTACATGTACCTGCAGTTCAGTGTTTCTAAAACTAATTACATTGTTTTATTGGAGACTACCTTATTTAGCTTTTTTCATCATTTAGTATTTTTCATATTTGTGCATCCCCTGTAGAGCCTCAGTGATCTGTTGGTCTGGTTTGACTAGTTGTCTTCACTGATAGTTGTTACCATTTCAACCGTGTCCTTAGAAACCAGCATGTATTCACTAACACTTTCCGCTGCACGACAGCAGCGCACATGCTTCATCCTGCATGATGGCATTCAGCCACCTTTTGAACGTTAAAGCCCCTTTTTATCAGAACATTGTTATTTGCACTTTCACCTCAAAGCCTGAGAATTTTTGACAGGTACTTCCTCATCCAAACAGCAGAAAGGTCACATTGGGCATCATTTTACGTTTGACCCGAGTTCACTAGAAGACAAACACCTCAGCCCCCCCCGCCTCATTTATTTTACTTTTCAACATACTTTCTTGGTTTTACTTCTCAGACCTGCATGTGCAGTGGCTTTCAAAGCCAAGAGTCGGGGAGATAGAGGTTTAAAAGCAATAAATAACCAAATGTTATCAGAGCCCCGCTGAAGGAAGAGGATGCAGCTGTACGAACAGGACCTGGGCTCGAGACAGACCGCTGTGTGCTCAAGGAGTCTTTGAGGCCCGGCTTGAAAATGGGAATCCGGAGGCGTGCGTGGAAGACCTTGTCGTCGGTTTATTTTTCTTTGCCATTTTATCCCTGGATCCAGAAGCAGACTACGCAAACCTCCCCTTTTCTTTCCTTAAGAGACCCCCCCCCTTCATTCCTCCTCAACTATTACATGTTGTCTTAGAAAAATAGCTGCCCTTAATATGTCTGTTAATTTATTTTGTGTGTCTTGGGGATGAATGTGACCATGAATTGTATTTCAAAGCAAGAATAATAGAGACAAAAAACTAACTTGGTTGTAATAGGCTTTGCAGTTTTTAGAAAATGTGTTTGTTTTGTGTCCCCTCTTAGGAAAGGACCTGTCCTCCCGCAGTAAAACTGACCTAAACTGTATCTTTGGAAAGAGAGGAGGGTCTTCCAATGACCCAGAGAAGGTAAGAGAAATAAATCATGATTTTCTTTGTAAATCCACAATCGCTAAACACTCCTTTTGATATTTGATTTTAAATGTAATTTAGGCTGAATTTATTGTTATGTTTTAACCTGATAACAAAGGCAAACACATTTTTAACAAACCAAGAAAACAATCCCGTCAGTTCTCTTAAAGATGTAGAAATAATGTTTGGCTTTGATTTTATTCTGTCATGAAGCAACCTACACATAAAACACTTCTTCACAATAACTATGTCAATAGTTGGGACTTCCATTATCTTACATAGTCAGGTTTTATGTGTGATGCACTTGTCTTTAGTATTGTCTTGTGTTTAAAATAATATCCTAAACAGGTAATATGATCATGACTAATTCCTGTAAAACATGTACATATTTATTCCTTCCAGTCAGTCTTGTGACAAATGGCACTGTTTCAAGTAACAAGATATCTGTAGAGACTATTTATTATCCACGGTGTGAATGACTGTGTTTGCACTGAAACAGTGGTTTTCTAAATTGGGTGGGCAGTACTCTGATCCTTCCTGATCTCGTTCAATGTCAAGTGTGCACTGAGGGTGGAAATGCTTTCCCTTTGGCCAGGTGGTTTTAGCTTATCTCCCTCGGTAATTAAGGGTGACCATTGGTGCTGACGCCTCTGTCAGTCGCTGCAGTACCATGTGATCCTTGTGAAGCCTGTGGCCCTAGATTAGCCACGTCACTTTAACACCGCCAAAAGGCCACCGGTGGCGGCGAGAGCACCTAAATCCAGTTAAGGGATTTGCACTCTTACCCCCTACTTCTCTTCGCACTCCCCCCTTTTCTCCACTTCTGTCTTGGAGCGCTCACATAAGGGTGTTAGAATGCCAGCGGGCATTATTAAAGGCAAATCCAAATTTGGGCGAGGTGTGCAGAAATCTGAAATGATGACGCTTGCAAAAAAGTTGTCTTTCTGCTCTTGGCATTGGTGGTTGGTCACTTCAAACGTCACTTTACCATTTGGCAATATGCTGCTCTTGTGCTTTTGAAACGTAGCTTAGAGGCTCAGACAAGCTGCATTTCAGACACAGTATGTTCCTTTGGCTAACTAAATAATACTAAAAATACTAGATTACAATTAATAAAAAGTCAAAAGGCGTTTAGTCTCGGATGGTCTTCCTTTGATTAATAAAAGCATTGCCTGAGTTATTATTACAAATTAAACAAGTATCTGCCAATGGAACTTGCTGTACACCAAATCTACTGTTGAAATGATTCACTAAAATATAATTTGTTAAAGTATTTTTGGTGTCACAAGTTCTGCTGACTCCATACAGAGACAGAAGGACAATAACAAATGTAGCTTTTGGACGCAGAGACACAGAAAAATCCTTTTGCTGGCTTCCTCTGTTTATCTCAAGCATTTGGCTTGAAGAAATTGGCATCTTAAAATCCATAAATTGCAAAAGAAAACCCTTTTTCTATTCCCACGCAGGTACAGAGCCATAACATCACAATGGCTGCTTCTCCCCAGCTGATTAACATTGGAAATGCAAGCAATACACACTATCATTTTCTCCCTAATCGTTTGGTTATGGGTTGTTATTTTTCAGCCAGGAGGGACACCATTGACCATATCGAAAACACTGAACACAATTACAATGGCATCCCATGAGGCCTTGTGTTGAAGCCCAGCAACATCAGAGGTTGCTGGGAAGAGGTAAAGAGGGTGATGGACCAATCAAGCTGTAGGCATTGTGCAGGATCTCTGTGACACTGCCAGTGACCCTCTGCGCTCCGTGGTCTGTGCTTACCATAGTCCACATTACTGTGACGGCACAAATTGTGCTCTACAATTTACAAACATCCAGAAATCTCAGTACCCTAAAGAGTTGTACTCCTAAGTAGTGACCAAATCAACATTAGGGGCTTTGGTTTAGTGTTGGATTGGATTGGCAGGGGTTTGAACCAGTTGCGTTATCACATATCTGCATCCTAACAAGGTGAGACCTGACCAAATCTGAATCTGCTTCTCCAGAACGGCCTTTCTACCGGCTCATGAATCTTCCAGCACCTCACCCACCACCCACTGTTGCCCCCCTAACACCAGTCCCCCGCTGCTGGGGTTTTCCTTCCTACGCAGTGATGGGCTTCCTGTTCGCCTCTTATCGCTTCTCACAACGCTCCCTGAAATGCAGACAGGCAGACACACACACACACACACACACACACACACACGCAGGCGCACACACACAGGCGCACACTCTCGGCTGTCCCACATGCCTCTTTTAGTTACAGGCAGCAACGTGTTGAAAGGACTAATGAGCTCATGGGACAGATTACTAACCTAATGCACATTAATTGGTTGTATACAGTCATCCAATAAGTTTAATTCATTTTGGTGATTCACCTGTCTTCTAAATAATGTGTATAGCAGAGCTGTATTTTGGGTAAAAATCACCTTTATTTTAACTTTAAAATGTGTAACATTTCCTTTTTGAAAAACAAGTATTATTGTAAAAATATATACATTTAAAGATGAGGGTTTGATTCCTTCCAAACAACCACAACACATTTATTAAGGCCACAGTACACTAGATGTTTGACATTAAACATTAAAAGTTCTTGTTAGGCTTAAATCATTTTTGAATTTCTTATTCAAGCCCATTTATAAATGGAAGTGAGAACTAAAATATTAAAAGCATACGTAACACTTCACTAGAGAGGTTGCACTTTTTGTATGCAACTATTGCAATTCAAATACTTCTTTGCTGTAATGTCTACTTGTAATGCCTATCATGTTTTTCTTCTTTTGACATTAGTCATAGACGAGTAGTGTTAAAAGTATCTATGTTTTATCATCAGGGTCTTAGTTAGTGACGGTGGTGTTTGGCTGCATTATATTAAGACGGGTTCCTAATATTATGCCTTCATGTATTTAGGAAGGTCAAACATGTTGATACACATCTCAATATGATTCATGTCCAGTACAACACCCCCAAAACCAGTGACCTCTGTAAAAAAAACATTTGTTAAGCACACACACACACCCACACACACACACACACACACACACACACACACACACACACACACACACACACACACACACCATAAATAGATGACCACCATTTCACCCCAAACCCTTATTCCACCTAACCATCTAGACACTTGAAAATGATGGCTTACAACCATTATTTACACTCCCTGACCAGTGAAAGTTATCAAGTTGTGTTGGAGCACCTGTCCATCTACATGGCTCTCTGTTATCCATCACCCATCCCACGCTTGCGAGCCCCCTCCATCTCCTGCTTCCTCTAGCGCCCCTCAACACAATTACTCACAGCATGACAAACGACAGGCTCTCTCTGCCGAGATATCAAAAAGCCCCGGCCACTTCTAAATGAAGGCACTTTGGCAGCCCTGTGCTCCCCGTGCTTATCGGCGGGCGAACAGTGCCCCTGGCCGTCCTGCGTCCCCCCCCCCTTCTTCCTCCTCCTTCTCCACCACCATGCCCTCCTCAGGGGGTTTAGTTAGGGGAGCCACATGGAGGGCCAGCCCGGCTTGATTTATCTCCCTTGCCCCTCTGCCCGGCCACTCAGGCAGGCCGAAAGAGCCGACGAGGCTCCAACGGGCCTCAGCTCGAAAGCCCGGCATTAGCTGAAATAAACCATTCTGCCGCCCAGTGAAAAATGTCCTCTGATTGGCTAATTAATCAGTCAAAGGGGAGCGACGCGCCTTGTGACTTGAGGGACCCGAGCGGGCGACCGCAGAGGGCCTGCTGATAAATAGACTCCCCGCCGATTCATACATCAACAAAAGTTAGTCATTTTTTAAAGCCGCCAGCTCACATGAAAGGTGGAAACAAGCCATAGTTTTATTTTTCCACCTACATTTGCTTCCACGGTCCTGTTTTGGGGGGGATGGGGTTTGAAAAAGACTAAATTCTGTTTTATTTTTTTTGTTAATTTGTATTACTTGCAAGCTTTTTAAAAACCTTTTTCTAATTAAATGTTTTTTTATGATCAAGTCTTCTATATATTGATCTTGTGAAGAAGTCTGATAATTATAATACAATGTTTCTGTTGCTCAATGCAATCGGCAACATTAAATATTTTGCTCACTGCTCACAACCTCATTATCAGTGCAGTACATATCTTTATCTAGGATTTAAGTTTTAGAGTCGGCAGATCCGATGATATAAGAAACATTAAAATCCTAACAGTGACCCATTCATTAGTTATTTACTCCTTAAAAATGTCAGCGAAGGAAAAACGGTTGAATATAATTTGGAACATGGCTTGTTTTGACGTCTGAGCCTCCAGTCAGACAGTCGGTATGGCTCACCCTGCTCTCGGGTCAGCATGACCCCTGCGGCCTCTCCCACTCCCACTCCTGCTCAGGCACAAAGGGGCCGAGGATCAGGCCTCATCGGGTGGCACCTGTTGCAAGTCTTTCCTGCCCACGCGTCGTCCACATGAAGGATCGCACGTCAGCGGGGGCTCCCCCGATACCAGCATCTTAAGGAATATGGGGCAGGGGCGGAGCGGGTTGGGGGCTCGAGCGTTTGGCAGATGCGTCGGCTAGGCGCCAGGGAGTCGATGGGCGGAGTCGAGCAGTGAAACTTTGCTGACAGCGCAGAGGCAAAATGTCTTTTTACAGAAATTCTATTCAACTCTAGAACGGGTTTTATAGGTTGCTGCTGAGGCCTGGGAACAGGAACGTGAGGTAGTGTTGGGTTATTTAGACATCTAATTAAGACCAGCTTAGATGGTGTTACACATGTCAGGTGCTGTGTATATGTAGAAAGAATCTGTATCGATTAGTTTTGTTGTTAACTTGCAGTCTTTACAGATTAAGCGTCTGTCCTGCTGGCATTAACAGGATTATTCTTTACTTACTGAAGTTCCACTGCATTTTCCAGTTAACTGTATAAATAGAAATACAGCACCAAAGCAGAGATCTTCCTTATTGGCTCAGTTGTCTGTTAACCTCAGCATTGATCTATTGAAAGGGGATGCTGGTG